GCTACCTGTCACTCTCCTTTAACTCCTCCGGTGACTTTCTTTTATTTGAAGATAGTTTTTTGCCCGGCGCTCACGGGCAAACGGGAGTCTGCTCGTGCTGGTTCCGCAGTAAACAGCTGTTTGCTTTTCACCCAACAACGACAACCGCCTCACGAAACACTATGTTGTAGCGTTAATAAACGAAACAATTGAACAACATTGCTTGTCAAAGTACCTATACCACAGGACAATTTTATTTGTTTTAAGCAATATTTTTAGTGGCCCGAGCGGGCAAGTGGAAAGTACGTTATGCTGGCCCGGGGTGTCTAAATAGTGCTTCCGAGCCAGCGGGCCATTTATAATGTCGAGCCCTGCTCTCTGTCACTGTGCATGTGTGTAATGTTTGTGTGCAAGTTAGACGGGGCCTGCGTGTGTGCCTGCGTGTGTGACTGTGTCTATGAGGGAGAAAGGAAAGCTCATTTTGGCCGCGGCGGGAAATTGATTTGACAACATAATACTCGATGTTCACGATGTGGTCATTTACGACATCGCATGTAGTGCAATCCACGATGTATCGTGTAAACTCGATATATCGCCCAGCCCTAACTAGGGCCCATGCAAAGCTTTCTAAAATGTTGTTAATCTTACTAATAGAGGGAGATAACTGACAGGGTGCAAAGAAGGAGAAAAGAAGAGCATGAAAGGGTGTACTCACAGCCCTCTCTGGCCAGGTAGAGGTTCCTGGTGCCTGTTTCTACTTTCACTTTGTCCACTTTCAGCTTGGAAGCATCCTCTCTGGTCACTGCTGCCACAATCATCAGCTTTCTGCCATCCAAACGGATACCAGCGCTCTGCAACAAATAACCCAAAATTACAACAAGACAGCAAATGCACAAAACTGGAAAACAAATTATTCCATGACAAAAAAAAAACAATTATAGTTAATTACTCGGAATGTATTACCTCAGCCTCATCCTGTGATGCAGCCAGACATTTGTCTGCAGCCTCTTTATTCTTAAACTGAGCAAATGCACAACCTGCAAGAAAAAGGCCAAAATAAGTCCATTAACCGGTTTTTGCAAACAATAAAGATAAGAGTTTTTTTCATCCAAGCACTGGTAACTGACCTTTTGAATGTCCTGTGTCTGGGTGGAGAACAACCTTTATGTAATTAAGCTCTCCATACTTTAAGAGTATTTCCTCCAGATCCTCTTCCTCTGTGTCAAAGGACAGGTTCCTAACACAGGCAGAAGGAAGATAAACAAAGATGGCAGTGAATAATTAGTGAGTAAGCATGAGTAGATATTTTGAAAGCATGTTTAAGATTAAGGAAAGAGAACAATGTCAAACCTGAGGAATATTGTTTTGCCTTCTGGTACGTCTGAAGGGAGAAGCTTCTTGACTTTCTTCTTTTTGGCTGGAGATAAAGGAGCAGTGTCAAAACAACATTTTCATTGACATTTGTATTACCATTACATGCAAAAATAATAAGAAAAACATAAGCATATAATTGATACCTGATTCTTCATCTTCATCATCTTCGTCATCCTCATCACCCTCACTCTCATCTTGATCTTCCTCTGAATCAAGGTTACTCTTATCCTCGTCGTCATCGTCGTCTCCCTCCTGGGACACATCATCATCTTCTTTCTCATCGTCTGCCGCCTCCTCCTCCTCCTCCTCCTCACTGTCTTGTTCCTCACTATCATCTTCATCTCCCGATTGGGACTCCTCCACTTCAGGTTTGGTAGTGACTCTGTGAAGATGTTTTAAAGAAATAACCCGGTAAAGTAAACCAGTTTTAACCTGTTGACATATTAACAAAGCTTTACATGTGAGATCCACACTTTTTCTTTGCAGGAGCTGCTTGCGGCTTTTCTTCTTCCTCGTCTTCACTGTCACTCTTTGAGGCTGACGGTTTCGCTGTTGCCTCAGTAACTTTAGCTCCTATTAGGTAAACAAAAAAAAGTGTTATGAATAGGAATTATTGTATTTTAATGTAGACATTTCTTCCCATGAAGAGTAGGAGAAACAAGGCATTCATTTTCATTTTTTTATGTGTGTTTTTGAAATATTACCTGCACTTGCGGAAGACTGTGTGGCGATAAACTTGTCCTTAGGCACAGCCCAGTCAATTGCTACCTGCCGACCTGTGAATGAAACAATGACATTTAAAAACACAGTCACAAGAGACGGACTGATTCTTATTTTCCAAATAATATGCCAGCAATGAAAAGTGTTTCTCCCACAACAGTAAAATGTCTCACTGACTAACCTTTTATTTCCTTCAGATTCATGGCAGTTAGTGCTTTTGCTGCCTCAGACACATTTTTAAATTGGACAAATGCAAATCCTCGCATCTTCCCATCTGTAGAAAAACATTAAAATAGGAAATAAGCAATCAACCAACTTAAGGGGCACACAATAATTCAACTATTAATTACTTTGATTATTTGTCCATCCGGTTAGAATAACAAATATTTTTACCAGGTTTGAGGGCAATTTTGTTCTCACGGACTGTTCCAAACTTGGAAAAAACTTCTTTTAGATCATCTTCCGAGCACTGTAACACAACAATTGGGACAGATCTAAGCAACTAGTGTCCCGCTTTAACAGCATTTATGTCACTGAACTTCAGAGGATGGTTAAAAATGGTGCTTGTCAGTTACTCCATTGCTCAACCATAGCGTACAGCAGAGTCCTGCATCGGGTCGGGTATCCGCGGGTACCCGACGGGTGACCCGCAAAAAAGGTGATTTGCGGGTGGTATTTTTACAAACGCTTTTTTCCGGGTTCGGTTCTGGGTAAAACAAAGATGATGCGAGTCGGGTTGCGGGTGTTGCATAATAAATATAAATAATAATAATAATTTTGTTTAATGTTTAAATCCTCAGACCTCTCCCCCGCGGGACCGAGCATAATCATAACCTCTGCAGCGCATCTATCTGCTGCTGAGCGCGCCACATTCTGAATGGCTGAGGTGAAGCTCTCTAGCGGAGAATACAGCATTTTCAATAACTCTTCGTCAAGAGCGAAATCCAACGTCTGGGAGGCTTTTGGTGTCATCCTAGATGGAGAAAATAACCAACATCCCACGCTTTTTGAGCCAAATATGCAACTGCGTGTGTTAATAATTGCACGTTTTCACCGCTCATATATATGCGGCTTCGGGTCGGGCTGCGGATCTTGTGCCGGCGGGTCGGGTCGGGTTGCGGAACTATTTGGTTATATGTGCGGGT